CCAAAGAAATCTCTTTCTGAGAAGAACTATACTTTATACATGGGATATCAATTGTGTTTTGGCTGTGCAAGGAAAGAGGTCGGGTCTAGAAGCACTGGCAACACAACCCTACCACTGTAACCTCTGCCACGGACACCACCCCATGCACCCATATTACGCACTCACAACTTGAAATAACAACCTCCTAGGGTGTTTCACTATATACATAACCCTCTAACTTAGAATCTATGAACATCTAGATGAAGAAAAAACATTGCTCAAGGATGAGTATTATAGACTCACAAACTCACCATTCAATAATTAGATGAACAGCAGTTTAAAATGAAATACATACAATTCTTACATAAAGTACACTGATCTTAGACCATTTTGTAGGGAAACTACCACCACTGATGAAGTTTTCACATTTTAAACACCACAGCTACTTGTGTGATTAATTTCACCATGGAAACCAGAGAGACATTCTCTAAAATGTATTATGGGATAGTCCTTGCATAAGTGGTCATAGTGGAAGAACTATTCAGAGATAGGGGTGACTGACTTCACTTTGAGGGACGTCATCAACGCCAGTTCATACGAACAACTGCAGCTACAAAACAGGTAAAGGATATTGCACACAGAGAGTAGAATTGCCATGCTGGTGAACCAAGGTATTCAATAATGGCACCCTGCAAGTAACAAGAAAATTTTATAGAATAATGAGGACTAGTTCAGAGAGACTTGATTAATATTTTAGCCTAACCACACAAATGTTCATATCCACTCACTGTATGCCAATCCACTAATGCCGAGAATCTATGAGGTATTTCCACTTGCTATACACTATTCCACTAACACCTAGAATCTATGCGATATTCATCTTACCGGTACTATATGCTACTCCGAAGATGCCTAGAATCTATGTGAGATTCAATTCATATACTCCACTAATGCCTAGAATCTATGTGAGATTCAATTCATATACTCCACTAATGCCTAGAATCTATGTAAGATTCAATTCATATATTCCACTAATACCTAGAATCTATGTGAGATTCAACTCATATATTACACTAATGCCTAGAATCTATGTGAGATTCAATTCATATACTCCACTAATGCCTAGAATCTATGTGAGATTCAACTCATATACTCCACTAATGATTAGAATCTATGTGAGATTCAACTCATATACTCCACTAATGCCTAGAATCTATGTGAGATTCAACTCATATACTCCACTAATGCCTAGAATCTATGTGAGATTTAACTCATATACTCCACTAATGCCTAGAATCTATGTGAGATTCAACTCGCATATACTCCACTAATGATTAGAATCTATGTGAGATTCAACTCATATACTCCAATGATGCCTAGAATCTATGTGAGATTCAACTCGCATATACTCCACTAATGATTAGAATCTATGTGAGATTCAACTCGCATATACTCCACTAATGATTAGAATCTATGTGAGATTCAACTCATATACTCCACTAATGCCTAGAATCTATGTGAGATTTAACTCATATACTCCACTAATGCCTAGAATCTATGTGAGATTCAACTCGCATATACTCCACTAATGATTAGAATCTATGTGAGATTCAACTCATATACTCCACTAATGCCTAGAATCTATGTGAGATTTAACTCATATACTCCACTAATGCCTAGAATCTATGTGAGATTCAACTCGCATATACTCCACTAATGCCTAGAATTTATGTGAGATTCAACTCATATACTCCACTAATGCCTAGAATCTATGCGAGATTTAACTCATATACTCCACTAATGCCTAGAATTTATGTGAAATTCAACTCATATACTCCACTAATGCCTAGAATCTATGCGAGATTCAACTCGTATACTCCACTAATGCCTAGAATCTATGTGAGATTTAACTTATATACTCCACTAATGCCTAAAATCTATGTGAGATGCAACTCGCATATACTCCACTAATGATTAGAATCTATGTGAGATTCAACTTGTATGCTCCACTGATGCCTAGAATCTATGCGAGATTCAACTTGTATACTCCACTGATGCCTAGAATCAATGTGAGGTTCAACCCTTATACTCAACTAATGCCTAGAATCAATGTGAGATTCAACTCATATACTCAACTAATGCCTAGAATCTATGTGAGATTCAACTTACATACTCCACTAATGCCTTGAATCTATGCAGGATTCAACTCAATGTTGATAAACTAATGCCTAGAACCCACACTGCATTCTACTCACTATACGTCACTCCCACAAAGATTCTAGGTGCTTAGTGGTAGTGTAAATGGAGAGGTATATAACAAGTGACATATTGTTAGCGAAGAGATGTGGAATGCCACATAGATTGCAGGTAACAAATCATTTCATTAGTGTACATGCATGTGTAACTGTAGTTTGATGGTTAATATAACTTTAACTTATGTTGCTGGTGAGTATTTCCTCAAACTTCAAACAACGACAAAAACTACATGTATATAATGACACCCCCATCCCCACCCCCACCCCACACACACACACACACATACATACATACTCACATACAAGCTTACTATTCTACACTATATTACTGACTGTTTACAAAAGTGTTTGAGCTAATCTTACCCATCCACCACGACTGATGATCCAGGCTGCAAATACTTCTACCAAAAACTTGACAATCTCCCTGATTAATCGTGTCATCCACCCTGGTAGATACTGGCTCATCATAGAGTTAATGGCCTGAAATAGAAACACTATTGAATTCTCATTTATGATATAGCGCCCTCTATCCAACAAAACCTATACTGGGTCATCTTCGTACAGTATAGCTTTCATACAACCTGTTATCATTTTGCATTTGCAACATGCATTCATGTCATATACCCATTCATCAAGTTCAGGTCATGCATTTATTACCATTTCATCATGCTCAAAGGCGATGCAAAGGCTATACATCTGCGAAACTGATAGGCTTGGGTGAAAGCCATACTGTGTATAATTTCTGTGAATATTAATTTTTTACATTTTATTTTATTTCCACAGATTTGAATTACAGAAAACATAAACTGTACAGATATCTACATACGTAACGTGTTACTCACTTTGACACACATTCGATATGCAAAATAAAAGAGCGCCACCACACGACCCCAGTTTACAATGCCATCATCAAATATCACCCTGGCAACCGCAATCACTGCATCAACGCTACAATTAGTAGGCACCCTGTCAATCATTCTGCAAAGAAAAAGACACAAAACAATGTCTTATTTATATAATAACCCCTTTAAATACCAAAGCCTTCTTGTGTCACAATTTAACCTACAGAGGTGCAATTTTATTTACTTATTTTCATCAATAATTGATTAATATCTGTTGGCATTGGAAATTACATCCATCTGGTCAAAATTATAGTAAAATACATAAAAATGCACACTAATATAAGAGTTAATAATTTGGACAAAATAGACAAGTGAGCATGATGATATGTGTCTAGTATAATGATTAAAACTTGCATACTGCGCCAAGATATATATTTCAGTCACAGTTCCACACGTATATCAGTCAAATTAAAACAAACCATTACACTATGTACACCCGAATGTAACTGTTAAAAGATTTTATAAAGAAATAAGCGAGGTCCTTAGGCATGCGATCCTATTCAAAAAAGCTACCAGAGACAAATGACTTTTCTCAAGTCCCCTCAAACTTCCATTCTGCCAAGAGAGGGCGCTGGAATGCATCATTCACATGATTCGAACTGCACGGAGTTCGCGTATATTGGGGTCAAAAGTCAAACACGGCGACTACATAGATGTACGTGAATTGCTCAAAATTTTGTCTATTTGACACATTTTGTAAACTGTATAAAATCAATTTATATTGTGCCAGTTCTAACACATTTTGTTAAAATTTAAACATATTACAAAGTATGGTTCCAATACAACATGACTTGACATGATTTCCCATCTACAGATGCAGCATAATGTTAATGGGCATTAATAGTTCTGTGAGATAAAATGACAAACATTTCCGCTCTTCAATGTTAGATTTTATGAGGATGACAAAATCACAGTGTTTTGATTATTTGATTTATAGAAATGTTTCAAAAATTGAATATATATGTGTTTGCTATATATTTTTGTTTGAGTATGTAAAAGTAATACATATGTATTATAAAAGACAAGTAAACAGTTGTGTCCCTATAAAACAATAATGCGTATTTTTTGAGAAAAATACGAAAACAAGAAATTAACAAGCACTGTGATGCTGAAATGTTTTCAGTTTGTCTGTTAAGTACTTTTCTCTATATCGTATCCTGTGTGTATTGATAAACCAGAATACATGTATTGTGTGTGCCCATTTAGGGTGGAAATGGAATACACAATACAAAGAACTCAGAAATCATGAAATTACCTAGTCATTCTTTTCACAGTCTGTTTCACTTATTATTTCTAAAATTAAATGCTAGGGGACAATCACAACAGAATCTCCAGTTGCCCTTATATCGTTTTCTACCTTTGATCTCTGATGAATATGGTCTGAAGCTAAAGTTTGATACAAAATAATTCAAAACTAGCATGCTTTGTGCAATCTTCTTTCTTTTCATAAAGATTTAGAAACAATTCAAAGTGGTGTTTCCATATATATCAGGGAACACACAAAAACATTATTTGGTAATTGTTAAGAAGTGAACTGTGAATCAAGAGTTTTTAAAAATCACTGCCGCAACACTCTAGGTGTCATTTATTCTGTGATATTAGTATTATAAAGAGAATGTAAAGATGCCCTGTGTCATGAAAAAATGGTGGTTGATTATAGTGACAAATTTATACCTTGTCAGAGGTGTGTCAATGATCAAAATAATTTGCAAATGGTGTAACAAACACTGAGTTAAGTATGCTTTCCAGCTTTTGAATTAAAATAGAATAAAATGATTCAGCTCTTGTGAAAAACATGAACACAACAGGATATATATTTCATACCCAACAAGCGACACAATAAGGCTATATAATTGAGTCATATAACTCTCAAGCTAATCCATTTCAATTATTTGAAATATGATCTACATGTACCTCTGCAGCTCATAGTCTCTGTCCATTTCATCTGCTATTGTCCGTAGGGTAGCTCCAATCTGCCCCCAGTTTTCTTCTTGCATAGGAGTAAGAACATCAGGATCTTGTATCTCCTCCATGGTCGGTGCATTCTCTATTCCATCACGTTGGAATCGCTCTATGATGAACTCCATTAGTAGTTGTGTAGCCTGTGCGCCAATCACGTCTTGTTCTTGGCTTTGCTGTCTCTCGGCCCCACCTACAGCACCTGCATTCAAGAGTTGAAATATGCTGGTAAGACAATTTACAGATGGGAGATGCAGAAATAATAGAAATTATTTCTGTGAAAAATTGCATGACATGCAGTTTAATGATCAGCCAGAGATTGCCATGATGCTATCAACCAGTTTTATTGTTAATTTTGTATTTGAAAAAAACAAACAATACATACCTTCATCTTCTCTTAGATATTCATCCGGTGGTCCTCCTTCGGCCATTTTCTATTAATTCTTGAAAACATAACAGATATATATATCATTATCATTAATAATTATACATCTGTCACCATAACGCCATAAGTTACAGCATGCCGTAATTTTGCAGTATTGCACAGGGTATTTTCATCCTACCATATTAGAAATCGTGAATTCCAAATATGGAACAATTACGGACATAAGCGTTCTCTAATAATAAAAAACAAACATGGCTGCCCCCGGGTTTGACTGGACCCCACACGAAGAAGTTTGATAAATCTGTTATAAAGGTTTTGGATTTTGACATTCCCATGATGTATTCCTGGGAGGAAAAGATGTATACGGTATTAATAAGGTTATTACGAGGATACTGCAAAGTAGGCACTCAGACAATACATGGCGGCATTAACCTCCGCTGCACGTCGGTTGATACTCCTGCTGTACTGTCTTTGTGCATACTTTGCAGTGTCCTCGTAGTACATTTTGTGTAAGATACTAAAATTGTGTGAACATTTAGCTTAATTATCGACAAAACTTGTATTTAAACAATAATAGCAACCTGATATTTTTTTATGACACTTTTTTTTTTCGTTTTTGCAATAATTTATTTACGCTTATTTGTTAATCTGAATAGACCATTCTATGTTCACTGTGAGACGGATCCCACATTATGTGTAAAATTGAACGTAAAAATAGTGTGAATTTTTGGGTATTGCCATACTTAATAAAGTGCTTTACACATTTGATGTTGGTCAATTTTGATGAAGTAATGGTATCTCAAGGGTATTCAATATAATTCCCCTCTGAATGATAGGCATTTAGACATTCTTTGAAAGGTTCAAATGCAAATCCTTCAATTTTTCCTCGACATTCATTTAGTCCAGACTTTTCACACAATACCGTAAGATACCCAGTGAGCTGAAAATTATTTTTTGTATACAGTCATTATGCGCACATTTTTGTTCTCTTTTCAAATAAAACACAAAATATTCCAATCCAATCCTAATTTTCAAATGAGGAACCAACTAGTTTTTTTGTTTTTTTTTTTTTTTATGTCACAATAAATCAACTGATTAACACAATTTTAATGCAAATACATTTTGGGTAATGACATTGTTTTGTTCATGTTTTCTCATTTATTGTGTTTATATCAATCTCACAAATACGTGATGGAGGGCGTCTGGGGTGGATCAAATTAAAATTACAAAATTTTAATTATGAGTCGACAAAAATGCACCATAAAACTTCTATATGACTCGCCAAATATGGCCACATCCTCACATTCTCACGTTTGTATGGTCATAATACTAATAGTACGAAAACAAATATCCTAACGTTCCGAGTCATCACGCACTCTGGCAAGAAGAATTACTAAGTACACTGAAGGATGGGGACTGGGTCACTCACCGGAAAGTGTTTTTTGTTATGTATATAAAAACAGAAGAGCTAGGCAGGATCGCTGATCACACTGCTACGTTTACGTCTGCAGTAGAAAATGTGGTATCCGTAGCCGTAGTACACCTGACCCGAAAACTTGCTACTACCGGTAGTACTAAATCAATCCACTACGACCAGCACAATACTGTTGTATTCCGTCGGCGTATTTTTTTTTTCAGGTTGAAAATGCACACCACAATGTATGTGGAAATAGTTATTTGATCTCCCCCAAACCAGGAAATCGATTTAAGTACAGAGCGCTTTGTTCAGAAGAAGATGTAACTTACACCCAACAAGCGACCTGACCCAGCTGTCAATAGATGTCAGAGGTGAGTTAAATAGCGCCATCTACGGTACATATCATATACTAGATTGTACGCATAAAGTTGGCAACAGACCAGGGAGCTGTAATGAGCCGAGCAGCGCTAATAAATTATTCATGAATCATAATCCACGTAATTCCCTACTCAAAAACAGGGGGTGGAAACCGCTACACAAACTTTCATAATCGCAAAGTAAATAGCCGCGTCCATCATATCATCAAAATCAGACCACTAGACGCAATTTCCAATTCTGATTCTTAAACACAAATTATCAAATATATTATAAAAATGTAAAATGTAATTAGGAATTTGCTTTACCTGTAAAGTGTAAAAATCTAGTTTTTACTGTAAATGGAACTTTCATTTTATTTCCTGTGAAAACGTTAAAATCCCTTATTTTATTTCCTGTAACCTGTACCAGCTATCCCCCCTTGTACCTCCGGGAAACAGTTGACTTATTTCGGAATCAATATAATAATGTGACATTGAAACCCAAAAATGGGGATAGATTTTTTGCCTGGCTAACTTTCTTAATACTTGTAAAAGCAAACTGATCGTTATACCTGGAAATGTAGTATCATAGTCATTTGCGTAACAATGGCGCTCCGTAAACTGGGAAAGTAAGGGTTTATTGAACAGACTCTGTATATTAACAAACTAAACTAACTAGCGACCTATTTCTGGTCAGAATTATTGCAGAAATATTTATTGATAAAACAGACAAAGACAAGATAAAAGAGAGATATGTACTTAATAATATTGGACTCATCCAGGAACAGGCATAATTGGCCGTTATAATATGGCGCTGTTTAAATAAGAGTGTCATGATATGGACATGATAAAGGAATGACATATTAATCGCACACAATCTCCAAAATGTTAATAAATTCAAAACTGTTAATGGTATTCAGTGTTCGTCAAACATTTGATGTTTGAATTTTTAGTTTCAGTTTCTTTCTTTTGTATGCGGGCGCATTAACTCATTCCTACTAAGACTAAACATATATTAGTGTTTTTTTTAAATTCTATAATCACTATAAATTAAGCAATGCCAATTATGATATCAGGTTGAGAACTCAAAAAGTCCATACTTGTGTTGAGTGATTCGGAGCATTAGGACAGGATCTTAGTTTATTTTATTTTATTTTATTTTATTTTATTTTATTTTATTTTATTTTATTTTATTTTATTTTATTTTATTTTATTTTATTTTATTTTATATGTTAATTATTTTTTATATATTCTTATTTTTAAGTATCGGTAATCGCTAGTGTGCGATAATTAAAATAATATAAAATAAAGATTATATAAAACATAGTAAAACAACAACAACAACAACAACAACAAAGAAGAAATAAACTCACGTAAAACACATCAGATTTTAATCTGATTTGACTCGGAGTTGACATTTTGTATATCAGACATTCTTTCAGAAATCAAAGCGTCATAATCGTCGCATATATAATATGAACGTCGCGCTTCAAACTGCTAGAAATGCATGTATATAGACAGTCGGAGCTGGTAATCATAGGCCTAAACTATGAGGGCGCTATTTGAATATCTCGTTTTATTGTCCCACCTGGTCACATAAACGTAAATTACAGCTATATTTCAGACAATCAGTGGCCGATTATTAATGTGGTTACAATATTGCGTCAAAATGTGCCTGAGTGAAAATATGTGAAATTCATTTCAAACAGTTTGTACGATATGTATGGTGGGTGTTTGTTTTTAAAATTCACTTTAATTTGTATACACATTTTAATTTTACACTTCACCTTTTATTGCATTTGTAGCTATATTTGAAATGTCATTTTTTAATATAAAGTAAAATCTATATGAAATTTAAAACATTTATTAGAATTACCAAGTTGCGTCATTTCAAAGCCGCAAATGCAATACAGCTTAAGAAGAAATTATGGGTTTTCTTTTATGCGAAACGCGGAGTGTACCGGTGACCTGTGGTTCTGGCCAACTCTCGATTATTTCATTGATTAGTACATCGAAAACCTGTCCATTTTTAATTAATAATAATAACTTGATCATTGGTCGACATTTCCCTGAAAATCTAGTTAGGAAACCCACATTGTTCTCACATGAGGCGGATCTGCGCGATTTCTCACTAGAGATGACCAATGTAAGAAATTAGATCTGATTTTTTAGTTTCATTATCAGGGGATAGCGCGAACGCAGTCCCCCACTAACATAAATTATGCGCCCGAGTCGCCCACATTTGGGGCGATCGCAGGTGTCAGCCCAGCCGAAGTGCAATGGGAGGGCCTCTCCCTGAGGGAACCGCCTCCATGATCACGGTTAACCCCTACGCCAGGTAAGTATGCCAATGACTGTTAACAATGGAGAACTGTATTGAATGAAACAAAACAGACATCACGGTGAGTCGCAAAGCTAACTGCAAAAATCGTATTCTAACTAGTAGTTGCACACAATAGACTGGTAATGTCATGACTTAAATATTAACCACATGATTTTAATGGTCGCTCATGGACATTTAACTACAAGAAATGCGTTGTATTTACTGAAAATTCATGACAAACTTCACCACAAAGGATTCTGGGTAAAGATTATGCACGCATCAAACAGCCCTCACGGCGTTAAGCGCTCAAAGTCACGCGAGACCCTTTATATATAACAGTGGTCCTAGAAAAAAGGCCATCATAATATTGCTAATCAGCGTACAGCCATCATCTTGGGTGAAAGATACAGTAAACGTGCACATTTCACTATTTAGGACATCGAAAACCTGTCCATATAATATATATATATAATAATAACTTGATCATTAGTCGATATTTCCCTGAAAACCTAGTTAGATTCGCAAATAGAGAGGAAAAGTAATACATGCATTAAGAAAAAAAAACAGAAACTGCATTTAATAAGATGGTGGATGAATTACATTTGATGGTAGAGCGGGGGTTAGCCTGAATTGTTTACACAGATATATGGTTTATTGAAAAATCACTATTTTATCGATTTGTTGGTCAATGTTAGTTAGCAGTTGACATGTCCCGTTCATTCCAGGCACTCGTGTCTTTACTTCTACCTTGTGCTCGAAGTGGGACTGAGGGGGGGGGGGTCGACGATTATCCACTTCCGGTTAGCAGAAACATGCAGATTTTAAGATACCTAACATATGTTGATTCTATACGAACGACCGAGGGTTACTAAATCATCCAAATCTGATTAAAATATGATGTATTGTACGGCATAAATTTAATTTAATTTTATATATTCCATTTTATTCTTACTATATATTTTGTAATTGTTTTTATTATTATTTCGAACATCTTATTTTGTATTACTGTCGCCACATACTTGCAGATGCCACGATGCTCAGTATGCGGCGATACAAAACAAGATGTAGATAATAATACTAGTAAAACATATTATTATACAACTGTCACCGTAACGCCATAAGTTACAGCGTGCCGTAATTTTCTCGGGTTTTTTACGGGGTGTTTTTTTCATCCTACAAAACAGACAGTACTAAGACAGTACGCCGCGCATCGACCTCCGCTGCGTGCCTGTCGATACTCCAGCTGTACTGTCTTTGTGCATACTTTGAGGTATTCTCGTAATAACCTCATATTATTTTACATATTGCTCAACTATGTTGAGTAATACGAGTGTTCATGTTATTAAAATGTTGGAACCTCTCCAAAGACGCTCGATGAAAATGATATTAAATCCGGAACTATCTTCATCGATAAGAAATATTGATCTGGAACTAAACTGGTTACTGCTATCTGGCCTCCAAACGCAAGGACTGGCTTTTAGAGGCGACTGACTGTATATCAATGGTTTGTCTCAATTTAACAGTTAACACAACGATGTTAAGGTTATACATTCCTTGACTTGCTATTTTGAAATCTGCTTGTATGCAGTTTTTATTTGAGTAATGTAATTCATTATCATAATGCACTAACAATGCATTTTTCTTTTAATTTCTGTAATTTTGTTTTCGAAGTTTTTACTCGACCATCATAGGTTGTACTACGCCAACTGATTTGACAGTGACTGTATTATTTTGTTTTTCTGGACCACCCGTTTTCAATTTTCAATCTTGTGCTTTAAATTGCCTATTTGTAACATTTCTCGATTTTCTTCCCGAGATAAAGTCTCAGAATAGAAACAATTTACGATACATGTGGGAATGTGAACATTAGACGATCTGAAAATGGGGGAGGGGGTATCAAACGAATATGCTTTTTGGTAGCTGCAGCATAAACATCCCAGACAGTTTATGTGTTTTCATTTGGTGCCACGAAGATCAATTACAAGCATTAGTATATGACAAAAAAAAAATACCAAGAACTGATTCCCTTTAATTCATGTGACCCCGGTGACTTAACTGATTCCTCACAAGATATTCAGCATCATGGTCTATATTATCATGTCTTTGTCATCTTACTTTCTGTCTCTTCTCGTGTGACATCATCCAGGACATCACATGATTACCCACTTAACCTAAATCGCCAACACGTCACGACTATTTCGAATGCACATCATGTCTGGCAATGGCATGACGTTGACAAGACGTAACAACTTGAAACACATTCAATGATAATAAATGTGGACAATTTAGTCAAGTGTTAACTATTATTAGAATTCAGGCCAGGTTGTCTGGGGGTTCACTGATAACGTTTCATAATTGTGGTTTGTGATTACGTTTTTAACAGTTAACGTTCTTATAAGCCGATCCCTATGTAACGAACTTTTATTAGATATAATATTTATATTGCATCCATTTAAAACAAAAATTCTTCAGGAAATACAATAACATTTTACAGGGAAAAATGTTAATACAGGG